AAAGTGGTCCACATGGCCCGGGGTGGCCCTGGCCTTGATTCCTGAGCCTCACACAGTCTTTTCCCAAGGTGCAGGTGCCCAGAAGCCCTGGGTCTGATTGTTCTTGTGAACCCAGGCCCTTCTTCCCTCTCCCCGCTCCCTGGGGAGCATGTCACCAGGGCGTGCAACCTCCCTTTGGAAACCAGCATGGCCTCCCTGCTCCCTGTGCAGCCCAAAGGGCTCCCCACCCACCCCAATGAGGGTCTCCTGCACTCCCCCTATGACACCCCTTCCCTGAACGCTAGAACCCCTTCTCATCCTTCCCTCCAGCAGGTGTGCCAGGCTTGGCAAATGAAAAAAACACACGGCACTCGGCTAGATGCGAACTTCAGATTAACAATGAATAAACGATGAATAGGTTTTAGCATCAGTAGGTCAAATATCTGAAATTCAAATGTGACGGGGCATTCTGCACTTTATCAGGCAACCTTACCTAAGGGTGACTCCCCAGGACCCAGGGGCCCCACCCCCTCTGCCCGGGGACCTAACGGTGCTACATGTTGTGTGTTATCCTTATTTTTCAAAATGACTCAGCGCAATGCTAGGTGAGAGGAAAAGAACATATAATGGTCTTGATAAAGATCAAGCATGTAAGCTCAAAGGCTTGGTTTACTTTTAATAGTTCTTATCTAATAGAATTTAAGTCTATGAAAATTTTTACTCATTTTGGTCTCATCCGAGATGTGTTACGTGATACCATCACTGCCATTCATCTCTGAACAGTTTTACTGGTCTTGATTTCCTCTCTAGCTGTCAACTTGAGGGAAAGGGGATGCTTTGCTTGTTCTGTTTTTAAATATCCAAGTGGATAGGATTTTTGTCTCTTTCTCAGCAACTTTGATATGTATGATGCTATAGGCAGAGAATGTGGCCTGTGGGATTTATGCATTTTGAAATCTGGTGAGATTTTCTTTCTGGCACGAAACATGGTCAGTTTTTACGAATGCTCCAAGAGGGTTTGTTGGCACAGAGTTCACAGACAGCTGACAGATCACGTTTGTTCACAGTGCTGGTTGATTTTTCTTTGTCTAGTTGATTTGCAGATTTCTGAGAGAGGAGGATTAACATATTCTGTTGTGGTTGGGAGTTAATTTCTCCTTGTACCTCTAAAAACATAAACTGTATCTTTCAAAGCTATGTTTTTAGCCGAACAGATGTACACAACCATTTACCTTGACAAATTATTCCTCTGATAAATTGATGCTTTTTACCTTGCATTCTATTTTCATTGGCAAGGCTGCCACCACTGGCTTTCTTTCTGTTAGCATTTTCCTGGTATGTTTTTCCATTCCCTTATTTTCAACCTTTTGTGTCACCTCTGTATTGTAGGTGGTCTCTTGTAATCAACGTGTACACATATTTGTGGTGAAGTTTATCATTCAACTTGAAAATGTCCGTAAACAGCAGAATTTAACCCATTCACGTTTACTATGATGAATGCTATGTTTACATTCACTCCTGCCATCTTATTTTATACTTCTTTTTATTTCTTTTCCTGATGTTTACTGGATCGAGTGAGCTGTCTTTGCATGCAACACGTAGAGAATTCATTCCTCTCCAAACATGACCTGTTGTCAACAGTGACACTGTGTGGCCTGCTTGTCATCAGCTGAAATCTCCAGCTCCTTCCCCACAGGACATTAGAGGCCGGACTTACCCTCTGGACTAAGTCCCTGTAGGTCTTGAGTTTATCTCAGAAAGGGAGAAGGGGGGGCATGCAGGGGCAGAGGAACGCCAGGGTAAAAAGGATATTTTGGGGACAGACCGGATGAAGGCTCAAGGTGGTTGATTTAACCATTAATAAGGAGATATCTCCTTAATTTTGTATGCCAAGCAAGTGGAGTGGACACAGAAATTAAACACAGAAGGACACGACACCAAGTGATGTGAATAGGTTTATTTGAGAATCTAAACACAACCCACACAGGCACTGGGGACCTTGCTCCAGTTTTACAGCAAGAATTGCCTTCCCTGCAACCAAGAGCCGGACTCAGTTGTGGCTCCAGCACTTTCCATGCATGGAGCCGACTCTTCCCACTTCCAGCCAGTCCCTCTGAAGGACCCAGCTGTTCTCACCCACACAAACTCTCTCACATTGCTCACAGGACTTTTCTCTTGAGCACATTACGTTATACTGTAACACGGCTTTGCCCTGAGCCCAGGGTAACAGCACATGCACACGCAGCTTTCATGTTATGCCAACAGCCTCTTCTTTCTTCACAGCACAGCACGAGGTTACTTTTTTTCCATTCATTACACCATTGCTCTCTGTTTGTCCCAGTGACCCACCACTGTTCTGACCTCTTAGATGCCCCTTTGCCCAAGGTCCCTACACAATGAATAACAGTGTGGCTCAATTAGTGTTCTTTATCCATTAGAGTCCCAAATTAAATAGGAAAGCCCGCCTTCCTAGAAAAATGTCTATACCCACAGATACACAAACCCCTGCATACACTTTAAGAAGGTTCTGGACCTCTCTGAAAACCATCTACAGATGCTAGGTTTAAAAGCTCTCTAAACATGGCGCTCCTACCATAATTCATGATGCAGAGAAGATCTGGGCCAGGGCCAGCTTCATTTTCCAAAGGAGGAGGGGGAGTCTGAGTGAACCCATTTTCAGAAGTGGCATTGAGGGAGCAGAACTGGCAGGGTGCACACAAAACAGGCTACAAAATGTATACATTCACCTGAAAATCAGCAAGAGCAACTTACACATGCTATTATTTTACTTTAAAAACGTATTTTATTTGCATATACCTACATCTGAACAACAAAAGCACTTTGGTCTAACCGTCACCTTCCTCCGAGACCTCCGCCGACACGTTTAACAAACACAAGGCCCCGGAATCTCTGGAATTGCTCGTGTGCCTCTTAACATTTTAAACTATAACATGAGAACGACTTTTTTTTTTAAATGTTTTCATGTCCTTCTGACCTCAGAATTACTCTGCCTTATGCACACCAGGAGTGGGAACCAAGGGGTAACACACAGAGGCCTCCCTGCCCGTAGGGTTTGGGGGACCCCGGCCTCTGGAAGCCGGAAGCTCTCCCAGAATTTCTGTGCGGTCCTCGGGGCGTACGTCTCAGGGCCGCCCTCTCCGGGCCCCGGCGTCTCTCAAAGTGTTGTACTTACATGTTCTGCCCACTTCAGTTTGGACACAGCATCTGGCCCTTCCACCAGTTTCCATAAGAAAGCCACTCAGACCAAGCATCCCAAGCCTTTTGGGAGGGATTCTGTGGTCATAAGGGTTCATACAGGAAAGCGTGCAACCTGACACCATTCTACTCCGCTGGGTCCCTCTCTTCGACTCCCTTTCCAAGTCTACTCTGTATTTTCGTCTCAGACTATCCCAGGAGACTGCAGTTCTTCGCTTTCTCACCACGTGGAACAGTTCAGCCCTCTCCAGGTCCCACCCCAAACTGAGATGTCCTAACCCCCCACAGGGCTCAGCAGAACCAAAGAACTCCAAATAACACGATTCATCCTCCTTATCAGGCACCTGGGATTAATAATAATCCTTCTGTTGCATTACTAAAGGCTAGGCACTTGATGTGTGTTTACTTAGTTTTCTCAAATGTCTCACAGGTTAGGTATTTTCAAAACCATCTTACAGATGAGAAACCTGAGATTCAGAGAAGTGAAGAAACTGAGTAAGGTCACAGAGTAAGTGCTGTATCACCTTCGTGTTTCCTCTCTCTCTTTATCTCAATCCATGTACCAACTCGGCAGTGCTACTTGTATTTGCCTCCTGCCCTGTAATGGTATCAACCTCGTTCTCATCTCTTCCTCGGGGTTTGATTTTACCATTGAGTACTTTTTCCATCTGCTGATACTTGCTTTCACCTATTATTTTCAAATTCCTGAGGATAACAGCAGGCTGCACAGAAAGACCCGCTTAATAATTTTAAATCTGGGGGGGATAACTGAACCAAGAGGTGGAAGGCCCCTTGGAAGACATCGTGTCCAAGCCTCACGCAACACCAAAGACACACCCACAGCTTCCTCCAGATGGCCCGCGACTGGCCTGGGCACCCACCTTCTCTAGAGCAGACCACTGCAGGCTATTGGGCTGACTTCTTGAAAGAGTTCTTCCTTAAGGTAAGAGACCGTAAAGATACAATCTGCCATTTACTCGGGCTCCCCTTAGAAACTGTGAAGTCGGCCCTGGCTTTTCTCGCTCACACCCTAACTCCTAGCAGGCACAGGAGTGACCCAGTGGGAGAGCTCAAGCCACGTGTGACCCACGTGGGGTCTCTGCCCCACCCCACTCACATCGAAAGGGCCGTCTGGATGGCTTCCGCCTCAACTGTGGAAGCGGAGCCTAGACTCGCCCTGAGAGGCAGGTGGACGCCAGACCCACCCGCTGTCAGAGACTGGTGTGCGGGGTCTGGGCCACCACTGCTTAGCTGAGAAGTGTCAGGCCTTAGCATGGGTGGGAGACAGCCATCAGGGACCAGAGCACAGCTTGCAAAGTGAAAGAAAAGCCTATGGGCACCATGCAGGTAATACAAATGACGAAAATGGGTCACACAGGGAACATGAATTCGTTGCCAACCTTTAAAAATCATTAAATTTTATGTAAAGATCTGGATTGTTGGTTTTTCCTTAAAAGAGCAGATGATGCGGGACCCTTAAGCCTGTATCTCACATGGAAACAAACAGCTACCACTGAGCAGGCATTGTCCTCTCAGGAGGGCAGGCTCTCTCCAGTCTGCCAGACCTCACAACTCCTTTGTCAATTGCTTGACCCCTGGGCCAGAGGGTCCTCGCAACTTGGTTTGCTGGGGCAGTCCCAGTTTAGGCCTATTGTCCTTGTTTAAGTATTAACAGCATCGCCCCCTCACTTTATTATATGGTCACCTAGACATAATGCACAAGCCACCACACACACACACACACACACACACACACACACACACGTTGACCACTGAATTCACACAACCACATGTCAAGCACAGAACCCTGTTATAAAGTGATTTTATTAAATTGATTTGGACATACTGTAGGTCAAATAATATTTTCCGAAGATAACAATTATGGACTTTAAAGCTCGACATAAAATTAGTAGCTTCAAAAGTGTTAGTCATATTCCCCAGCAACAGCATGATAAAATAATTCAACTATGTAGAAATATAGAACTCTAGGACTAGCTGGAAACTCAGAAATCATTTAGCCTAATGTCCTCATTTTGTAAGTGAGAAAACTAGACTCAAAGATTAAGCAATTTGCCCAAGCTCACATACCTAACAGTAATACAGCTACAAATCAAACCAATTTTTCCTAAACCTATAATTCTATCAGTGATATTTCAACTGGCTCTCTATCAACTAAAAGTCTAGGCTTTTCTCTAACGCTCCACACTACTGTGACATGGAAGTGTGTTAAGACACTACAGTAAATCGTAGTCGAGGAATTCAGGCCTGGAAGGGGCTTTATCAAATAACTAAGCCAGCCCTCTCTTTGCGAAAATGAGGAAACATGAGAAGCAACTTCCCAAGGGCCTGTTAACAGAGATGTCTGGATCAAAATTCAGATGGTAACAAATTTACCCCCAAATCCCACCTCCAGTTTCATGGCTCACCCAGTAAGTTATGTGCTCCTTTTAAATCTCCTTTATGCATTGAGGTTTTAGTTATACAAGAAACCCTTCCAGTCAAACAGAAGAAATTAATTCAAATATGAAGAGAAAATCAAGCTTCGTTTCAGTATTTCGATGACTATTTCGGGTAGTTCATTTTCCAACCTCTCAGACAGTGGACAGAGACCGCTAACCTGAACACCCATTTCAGAGCTTTCAAAGAGCCTTAATTTCCCCAAAGACTTCCTGAGCAAAAGGACTACATGTGGGAAATCAACGAGAATAGGAATGAGAAGGGAAACAAAGTTAAAAATTAGTTGCTTTTTGTTGTCATTGGGGACTTTTGGTCTTCTAAACATTCCTTGAGTTCCTCCACATGAGTTTTTAATACCAATCTAGCCAGAAAAAAAAAAAAAAAAAGAAAAAAAAAAGGCCTATAAATGTCAGGATACTGAGCAGCTCAGTATCTCTCCCCCTCCCCGCTGCACGCTGCCCTCACCGCCGGCCGCCACCTCCTGCTCCGGAAGCTCCCCGGCAGGACCGCGAGCCCCCTGCAGCCGCCCCTGTGCTGCCCCCGGAAAGGCCTCCCTGCCCGCTACCTACCGCTGCCCCCCGCCCCACCCCCACTGCTCTAAATCTTCACCCTAGGTTATTTTCTCTGTATCACTTAATCACTACCTCAAACTACATTATTTATTTGTTTACTTGCTTATCATCTGTCTCCTCCACCAGAAGTCAACGCCACGAGAGTGGGGCCCTTGTCTGTCTTACTCAGTGGTATTCCCGGTACCTGGCACAGTGCCTGGCACGTAGGAGGTGTTCAATAAATACTTGTTGAATGAATGAAGAAAGTTCATGCCTACAAAGGAACTGATATGTAATCCTCAATGAAAAGGTATCGAGGACTCCTACACATTATTGCCCCAAAATCACAGAATCAGAGACTATTATTAGTGAGGCCTCCTACCATCCGCTTCTCCTATGGTCTCCCCAAGCCAGTAAGGGGCTCCCCTTGTTACCAAAGGAGCCTGAGAGGGCAATTCTGGATGGAGAAGAGTTCTAACTTTGCTTGCTTCTTCCTCCCTATTTACATTCAGCTATTTCCAAAAAAATTCAAGTTAAAAATATGTGATGTAGCCACTAGAAAATTAAGTCTGACTAACATAGAGACACAGTGATTAGCAGAATTCACAAAATTAAAGTTCAAGGGCATGTATGTCTGCCAATGATTTCGCCAACAGACAAAGTAAATGGAAATTATGAGTCACCTAAAATCTAAAATGAAATTTAATGCCATCTAGGAAGGGGTGGATATTTATGGGTATTTTGAGGATATACAGGTACAGTGAGTTCAGAAGTAACGGGATATATGGACAGATACGTAGAGGCTGAATCGAGTGGTGACCTCAGCAATACCAGAACACTACTTCGCGGGAGCTGGCCGTTTTCAAATGCATTCACCAGTATGCTTGGATCAAGAGGAGGTCGGTCATGAGCTCCCGAAATGGGGGAGTATCTGGGGTGACTTTTAGGTAAAGTGTAGACAGAAGGTGACTCAGGAGGCTGGGCAAGGATCATGGTTTCCTGTGTAGTGTTTCAACTATGGAGGCATCGCGCCAGAATCCCAGGAAACACACACCCACGACTGGGACCTCACAGCCTGTCCTGGGCAAACACGCGGAGGGGAGGGATTCCAGATTCAAAGTCAAGCTGTGGAACACACTTGGCATGAATCCAAAAAATCAACCTCACACGTGCCTCTTGGAAAACAATGTTCTGCTGGGGCTTGCTGTAAAAATTTCTTGGGTCAATGTAGGTATTTACAGGGTTTTCCTTCCTAGTGGCACTTATGGGTTTTAGGATTTTTATCTCTTAGCAAAACGCTTTATATAACTGATATTTTGAGATGGTTTCTCTCCTTTGTGTGCACTCTCTGGTGGATGCAGAGGCTGGTGCTCTGACTGAAGGCCTTCCCACACTCATCACATTTGAAAGGTTTCTCCCCCGTGTGCACTCTCTGATGGATGCAGAGGCTCGAGCTCTGGCTGAAGGCCTTCCCACACCCACAGCATCTATAGGGCTTCTCCCCGGTGTGCACTCTCTGATGGATGCAGAGGCTCGAGCTCTGGCTGAAGGCCTTCCCACACTCATAGCATTTATAGGGCTTCTCTCCTGTGTGGACTCTCTGATGCATGCAGAGGCTAGAAGTGTGCCTGAAGGCCTTCCCGCACTCTTCACATTTAAAGGGCTTCTCTCCGGTGTGGACTCTCTGATGCATGCAGAGGTTTGAACTATTGCTAAAGCCCCTTCCGCACTCACTACAGACATAGGGTTTCTCACCTGTGTGAACTCTCATGTGAATCTGAAGGTGTGAGCTCCAGTTGAAGGCTTTGCCGCACTCGTAGCACTTATAGGGCTTCTCCACCGTGTGGATCTTCTTGTGTCTATTGAGCTTTGTCGTGGTGCTAAAGTCCTTCCCGCAATCATCACATTTATACGCCTTCTCTCCCGTGTGGTCTCTCCAATGGATATGGAGCTCTGACAGATGAAAGAAACCCTTGTCGCACTTGTCACACTTATGGGGCTTCTCAGCAGTGTGAATTTTCTGATGCATAAAAAGATCTGCTCTCTCAGAGAAGAATTCCCTACACATGGGGCACTTGTAGATCATGTTTCCTATTTGGTATCGTGATTTAGCGGAGAAGATTTCCTCACAACTACTACAATTACAGGGCTGCTATTTCACAGAGTCTCTCACTTGGCCATTTTGGTGCTTATCTCAGGCTGGCTCTGCTCGGGAGGTTCGAGGCCGGCCTAAGCTCTCCCCTGCCTGTCTTTCTATGGAAGGTTCCTCCCTGCATAGTGCTCCTCACTCGGTATTATTATTGATTAGAAAGTGACATTTACTTCCACGTGGACTTTGTAACTCGTTAACACAGAACTTTCTTTGAGATCCTGAGCTGCCAACATTCCAAGGGGCTCCCAAGGTAGAAACCTTTGCGTTTTTAAGCCCCTGGAATCTTCCTCTTGCAGAATAATCTCGTACTTCTCAGTTGCAGGAAAAGGTCTGCACAGTGTCCCCTGTAGCCAAGGGTGCGATACTGCGTGCTGGTCTCGGTCACCAGGAGCCTCCCCTTGCAGAGTCACAATGACATCTTGCCTCCTGCACATCAGACAGGAGCCTCCCAGGAAGCCAGCGCCTTGGGTCCAGGTGTGTCAGTCCTTCCTGGTGAGGATTCCCTATGCAGGTGTCACTCCGGCAGTCTCCTATAACAGAAACATAAATACTTACACTGAAAATGCCTTTCTTGTCCAGAAAATTGCTATGGATTCCATAATTAATTTTATAAACGTGACAGTAGTAACACAGACCTTTTTTGATCTTGAGGAAGGAGCTCTTATCTTCCAGAGAGACGTGTCTCTTGGATTTGCAGGTCTGAAGAAGAGAATTTGTAGATATCATGCTCCTGTTCATAGCCCAAGTACATAATCCAATTACAACCACTTACTGTAATTATCTGAGCAACATCAAGGGAATACTATTGAAAAAGAAAAGAAATCCTCAGAAGACCTACATGTGAGTATGAGAAGCAGCTGTCCTGCATAAAAGGCACACGAAGGAAAACGCACTCCACTTGGAACTTCAGAAGGGAAAATGTTGCTTCTGGAGCTGAAACATAGTATCGAGTCACCTCCCAATCCACAGAAAGAATAAATATATGACAGCATCAAATGTCATTCCCTTGCTTAACTGTCCTCCATGGTTTCCTGATGTACTTAAAATCCAAATCCTTAACCTAAAAACCAAGGTCCTGCATGGCCTTGCCCCCAAGCTCCCCGACCTCACGTGTGGCTTGGTGTGTGAGCCGCCTCTCCCCTACGTAAAGAAGGCCCCTGGCTAAGGCTCTATTTTAACCTCTTATTTGATTCCTTCAAAGCGCAGAGAACCTGTAATTATCTTATTGTTCCTTGCTTCTTGTTCTGTGTCCCGTACTAGACTATAAATGCCAGGAGGGAAGAACTCTGTATGTTGCTCGCTGTTACATCCTGGCAAAGGGGAGGTGGGGAGGTGTTTCAGTTAGCATTTGTTGAACGCATCTCCAGAGTACTTTATGACACCGCCTCTCTCCTGCAGACGTGGCCTGCTTTCTTCTGCTACAGCAGATAAAGGTACATTTTCCAGTGCCTTGTTACCAGGCTTTTGATAACCAACATGGGACAAAATATATACCAAACAGAAGGAGAGGAAACAGAAGAAAATTCCAAAATATTCAATCTGAAATCTTTTGAGGTTTAGGATGCCTTAGCCACCTTTTCATGCCCTGTTCTTTATACTCAGTAAGTGATACTTCAATTAATTAATGAAATTAACAGATCTTAAAATAACACTCTCCATAATATGTTTTATATAAATAAAGACAGGGTACATGAGGGATTGAGATTTCTTCAACATTAAAACTGCAAAATAAATTGCACTGTTTCTAGATGGAAGTGTTAGAATAATGAAATTCAACTAGATAAACAAAATTTCAGCAAAAAAAATATAGTCAATGTCTGAAAAAGTATATATGCATCTATCCTCTGACCCAGTAATCACACTTCTAGAGCTCTATCTCAAGATATACTGCAAACTAGGAATGACTGATGGCCCAGTTTATTGAGGCAGTACTTGTAACAGCAACATTGCCAGCAACCCAAGGCCCGTCCACTGGGGAGTGGCTGAATCAACTCTGGGACTTCATTCAGTGGACAACTGCTCAGCCATTGAAAACAGGGAATGAGGAAGAGCATGATGTACTGATGTGAGTGAACCCAGATAACACTGTTCACTAAAAAAAAAAAAAAACAAAACACAAGGCATAGAATAATAGCTCAAACATGCTACCTTTTGTGCAAAAAAAGAGGGGAATATGAATTATTTAAATATTTCTTTACATGATGTATAAAAGTAAACATGGAGAAGGATAATACAAAATGAATTTTTTATTGAAATATAGTTAATTACAACGTTCTATTAGTTTCAGGTGTACAGCAAGTGATTCTGTTATACATATATATATATATTCCTTTTCAGATCATTTTCCATCAAAGGTTATTGCAAGATATTGTGTATAGTTCCCTGTGCTATACAGTAGGTCCTTGTTGTTCACCTATTTTATATATAGTAGTGTGTATACGTTAATCCCAAACTCCTAATTTATCTTCCCACCCCCATTATCCCCTTTGGTAACCGTAAGTTTGTTTTCTATGTCTGTGAGTCTATTTCTGTTTAATACAAAATGAATTTAAATGGGAGGAAGGAGAAAAGGATGAAGTAAAGTTTCTCTGAATGTAACTTGTGATGTAGTTTTGACTTTGGAGACATATGAATGTTTATAAATTCAAAAAATAAAACTAAATAAACAAAAGCAATCCCTAAATTTTGAAAACAAAATGAAGAAAATGAACCTTAACTTTCAAGTTGGTGACACAGCCACAAACGACTTTTGAGTACAGCAGACTGATCATACATACTCGGGGGACATTCTGTTGATAAATAAAGCTGCAAAGAAGTCAAACTTCTTTCAATAGTTTAACTTAGTTATAATAACGGTGGTGTTTTTATAAAGTAGGATAATGCAAATAAGTCATTACGGTAATGTTGTTAGGAACCAAGATTCGAGGTGAAACAAATGAGATACAAATATAAAATCAAAGGTAAGGAAAAAAATCCTGTAACGTAAAATTTGACTTAGAAACATCAGTTTGAATTCATATCTTTTTTTTTCTTAAGGCTGTCCATCAAAAAGGCCTGGAAGCAATGACAACCGACAGCAATGGTCCCTTCCCTTATAGACCCTTTTCCACCAAATGGCACAGGGATCCTTGCAGAATGCCTGGTCTCAAGGCCAGAGCAGCACTTTATGAAGTGAGCCTGGGACACCTTGTCATGCCAGAATGTAAGAGAGTCATGGCAAAGGAACACAGATGCCAATTCATGAAGAGACTCCTGCTGGCCAAAAATGGGACAACTAAGCATCAAAAGGAATAATGAATGCAAGCCACTGAAACACACTAAATATACAAAACCCCCGAGTTCACAATGACGACAAGGGTTGGGGAGGAGCGGAAAAAGTAAGAGAGGGACAGACAGAGGCAGAGAGACAGACTCAAGGCACTAGACTAAACTGAAAGTTATAGGACACCAATTTTTACCTTTTTTGACACTTGGCAACTAAAAGGAAAGAATGAAAAATCCTTCGTCTATGAACTATCTTTCAAGATGATGCAACAATCCAGCTAGGAAACACGCAACCCTAACGAAATGCGTGATTCAGACCCCGGTAAGAAATGGGTGAAAACGTCAGATGAAAGGCTGATCGAGAACGTTTTACATTTTGAGGATCTGGCTGTCAACCCCTGAACCCACCAATCCATGATGTCAGCGTAACTCCAAGGGGCAACAGGAAACACACAGCGTCATCTGCAACATTCCTGCCAAGCATGCCTCCAGGACTCATTTTTATTTGAAGGAACTAGGAGGGCTAGAGGAACTACCAGGATACCAGCAGAAAAATATCAAAATGTGACGCAGTCCACAGGACAGCTACCCATTTCTGCAACAAGTAAATGGCATGGAGAAAGGGGGAGGGGGGGGTTGGGCTGCTCTAGATTACAAAGACTTGAGATAGAACAACCGTACCAGCCAAATGTAACTTGAAGACCTACCTTCTTCAGAATCTGATTCAAATAGGCCAGCTGCTAAAACGGACAACTGGGGAAGCACCGTTAGGGACTAGGTATCAGATGACACAAGGAACACTGCTCACTGTATTCGGTGTGACAATGCCTTTGCAGTTGTATAAACAAATGTCTGTATTTTTTGAGATTTATACTGAAGTTTGTAAGAATGAAAGGACACGATGTCTGAGATGTGTCTTAAAATGCTTTGGCCAAAATAAAAACGACAGACAAAGCAAATGAGGGAGGATTGTTGTAACTGTTGCTTCTAGGTGATGGATAAATGATGAATAAGCTAATCTATCTTCCTTTGTGTATGTCTGTAATTTTTCATGATAACAAAACTGGTTCGTGTCGGGAAAACATTCTTTTCCTGCTCCTCCTGCAATGACAAACTGATCCCAGGACCCGGCACATTGCACAGAGGTGAAACTGAACTAAACAGATGCACTCCTCCAATGGCTGTGACTTCCCCAATAAATCCTGAGCACGTGAGAACGTGTGCACCGCAGATGTCACTGGAGAGCAGAGGGAAGGTGACGGTGACAAGCAGGGGACACAGGGAGCAGTGCTGCACTCCGCCCTCCTTCCCTCCTGAGCTAATTAACCGAGACGCCATGCGGTTCTCCTGGTGCCCTCCCTCAGAAATGAAGCAGTGAGGGTGAAGGCATCCATCCAGACTGGCCTCAGGAGAGGCTGACTCTGCTCAGAAGGGTGGAAACACCAAGCTCAGTGATGTGAAACTCCTATAGTTGTTGTACATGCACTCCCGCCAGAGTTTCTCTGGACGAGGAGTCAGGTACTGCCATTCCTTCCAGGTAAAATGCCTGTAAGTCTCACCGCATGAGGGCAAGCTACATTCTGCAGGAAAAAGCTCAAGCAAAAGAACCTCCAGCAAATTTGCCATGTGACCAACCAAAAAACAAAAGGAGGACAAACCACCACCAAGGATCCTCACTGTAGCCTTTCCTAAAATAGCACCTGCCTCACTGCTTCCGTACATACAAAGGAGACTGTAAACCCAGCGAGTAGGTAGATGCCACAGAAGTCTACAGATCCCAAGGGCACAATGTCCCCAAGATTCCCTCACTCAAGACGACGTCTCCTATCCAATGTCCCATGATGGCTTTCAAGGGGACAGCCCATTGTTTGACTGTAAGGCCACCTGGGAGACCTGAGGAGGGAGGAACCTTGCACTGAGGTCACCTGGCACTGCCACGGGCAATGTCCCATCTGTCCACGAGACCTCAGGGGCACCCTCAGCAGTACAAGCCTTCAATTTATATTTGAGGAGAACCTCTCAAACAGGAAGGTTAGAGTCCGGCTGAGAAGTGACAGGAAGAAAGCTTCAAGTAGCCCGTCTGCCTCAAGTCCCCACCTTCCATGAAAAGAGCCCTCTTCTCTCCCTGTAGTTTGTCCATTAGCAGCTGTGCCTCATCTAAACCTTGTGACACCAAACAATACCTGAATTTGTACCCATCTCCCAGCACAGTTAAAAGTGAGGGATCAGCTAATAAACAACTGTGGCTGAAATGCGAGGAAGTAAAAAAATGAGTCCTAAACACAAAGAAACTATGCCCTGAGAGAATAAAAGCTCTGGGCCCTGGCATTGGAAAGGGTCATCTGGAAACGGAGACGCAGGATTAATGGGCTGGGAGAACGGAGCTGTTGCCCTTTGAGTGCTGATCGGGCCAAGAGCTCTCAATTCTAGACGCAGATTCAACCACCACTGTGCTCAGGAGGTAACACTACTACCGGACTGTGGTCTGAGGCACCGCGTCTGCTGCAGTGGCCTTGAATTTCCTTGCAGGCAGATATGCCTGCAGGGAGAGGAGCCCACTCTGGTCACACCTGCAGGGGGCAAAGGTCAAGAGGAAGGTACAGAGGGGGGACGCTGATTTTCTCTCCAAATTTCGGCCTGAATCTGTTGCAGAACTTGAAGATAACAGT